GAATGCGACTGAAACCTTAGTTCTTATTCCAATTTCATTAAGTATAATTTTATTATTTGCAATTGTTAGTTTATAGTTGGTTTGTATAGTGTGATGTTAAATGTAATGGAAAAGCACTAATCAATGTGATGAATTTAACATTTTCGTTAGTATCGGAATTTCAACAACAGCGCACAAAGCTACGGGGATCATACACTTTTATAAACATGTAAAATTTTCTATGTACACCTCTAATACTGATATTCAATATTGATCTCTGTAGCTTTGTGCGTAAGAGTAAATAGGATATCGTATATTATAGCTGTAATTGTTGTGGAAATGCATAACATTAATCATATGTTACATTGTTGATTTCACACAAAGTTTACGTTAAATTATGTTGCGGTTTAGTGTATGTGAAATACAATACAATGTTTATTGTTGTATCGTTGATGGCTGCTTATACACTTTCCATCATAATGTTACAAGTTAATGATTTAATTTATTTCTCCTTAATTGTAGGATGGTTAACAGTAGGGTAAAAATGAGAGAGCTAGCACCACCGTGTTATTAAACGGCTGAGAGAACTGGCACGGGGAGAACGTACATGGGTGAGAGAGCTGGCACGGTGAGAGAGCTGGCACACGGTGTCGAAAGTTTCCGTCGGCGTGTCGGGGTGGACGGTTGAGAGAGCTGGCACCGCGGAGGCTGGCACACGGGAAAGGTGTCGGAGGTGTGTCGGTTTGGAAGGGTGTTTGTTACCTGATGTCGGGCGTACGACAAGATGTATTATAAATATTTTTATTTAAAACTCGATTTTTAAGGTGGTAACGTTTGACTGACAAACGCTTCTCGCTTCTGCCATTTAGTGTTGAGTGTAGATAGTTTTCCAAATGTGTGGAGTAAATAGAATGTTAAATTGTTAGCCTTATGTAAGAAATAATGGATAAATAATAATATCTTAATAAATTAATTTAAAAACACTTATGGTGGACTTAAAAGCGCTTTTATGGCATGTCATTTAACGATGACGTTGTTTACCATGAAAACAATTTGTTTAATAAGGATATTTGTACATTTATATCTGAAATTCATTTATATCATAAAACTACTGTTTGTATATTTAAATAAATATTTAGCGCTGAGCTGATAATTATCCTTGATGATGCAAGGCTTATCGTGGCGTGCAAAAACTCTTGATAGGGATAATCATGGATGCAGCATTAGTTTATCAAAACATAATAATTTGCGTAACCATTACAAAGTGCAGCGTTGCAGCGTGTGTGTTTAATGACTTCCGACTGATAACGTAAATACCACGTGTGGAGGTTAAGGTCAAAGACGTCATATCTTATCAGTATATATATAGATATATAATTCGCGCACACAAAATCATTATCATCATGTCTTCCTCCAACGCGCTGACCACACCCTCCACCTGGGACGTTTCCATCGTCGAGGGATCAGGCCTGGAGAGTCTTGAAGACCTCTACATTATCTTGAAGGCAGTGTTCCCTCAACCTAATGTTCAGGTAGGAAAAAAATAAAAATATTATTGATAAAAAACTTTAGATTTATAAACGTTATACTTTATATCTTTAAAATGTTTTCAACCAAATTCACCTAAGATTCAATAGTGATGATATGTTATATCACTATCTGATAAATACACTGTATATTAAACTTATTTGCAAGTAATAATACCCTAAATTAAATAATCATACTTATGAATTAAATTATCAATGTCAATTTCTATTTTTATATCTACATTTTGAATTATGATTATTTCAAAAATGATTGCCCAAAAACTAAATTGTCATTGTATGGAACAAGAAGGCTTTAATTTATCGTTTCATGTTCATCATTATTTTCTTTGTTAATTAATGTTTAGGTTGATTAATTATTTTTTTTACCTATAAATTAAACTTATGACTAAACCTATAACTAAACTTTGATATATTTCTAGATAAGGTACAGAAGATAACAGCACTTAATTTATTTTAACACACGTTTAAAAAATATTATAAATTAATTTTATTTTACATGTTTGTTTAAGTTTGAACGGAGGGATGACCAAACATACAGAGTACGGCTGCCGTATTGTGTGAAGCTCACATCGCTCCAGGCCAGGTTTGGGGAGTATGCTGGGGCAGTGACAATAATCTCCGCGGCGGCAGACCTCACGTTGGCTCAAACCAGACGCCTGGCTGAGCTGCGCTCGAAGATCATCAATAGTAAGAGATAGTGAAAAACCATCAATTACTATAGTACAATACATTGTAGGGACTAGCCAATTATAGAAAAATACATTTTATAATTTGAATAAGAAATACTCCATATCATTGTCAAATATAAATTACTATTCTATTGTAATCTGTTAACGATGCAAAACTATCTTGCAACGATTAAACTCAAATTTTGTAAACCATGTAATACGTGGTACAGAGAATCTGACAATCACCCTGCAAGTAACACTCATTTAAAAAATACATTGGGCTATTTGCCAATTATTGAGACCGAGTCTGCTGCAAAATGTAGGCTTAAAACCTATTACTTAACAAATGGTGAAGGATACATCGATATAGGTAATTTTTTAAAATATCACACGAAACCTTTGATTATTTCAAAAATTCAAGAACACCTTCTTAAGTCGAAAACTCTGAAATGTAATATTATTTTAAAATGTATCTATGCAAGAACTGAAGGAGAAGAAGATGAAATCAAAGAACTGTCATTTAAGACTGCAAACGAGCCCATACTACTAGGTACAGATCTAAACACGTATTGTAAAAACGCTTTTGATAAACTTTTAACAGAACAATCAGAACACCAAGGTAAAGGTTCAGGATGGAGTCTAAAGAGTATTATAGGGCTGGAACTAAGAATTAATAAATACTATCCATTAAGAGGATGTAAACATATATCCTTACCAGCTTTCATTGCAAACAAGAAAGCTGTTGTAAATGTAAAGAATCAGGATGATTATTGCTTCAAGTATAGTATATGGGCGAAAAATGTACCTCGTAATCCACAAAGAGTCCGCAATTATATTGATAATGCAGAAATGAATGCAGCGTATGACTGGGACTGTATTAACTATCCTGTAAAACTTAAGTCAATACCTAAATTTGAACAGATAAACAATATGTCTATAAATATATTTGGAATAGAAAAGAAACACAATAGTGAGGAATATATTGTATATCCTATTAAAGTAACAAAACAAGAAAAAGATGATCACCGTGATTTATTACTATTGAAAAATGAAACAACATCTCACTATGTGTGGATTAAAAACTTTGATAAATTAGTAAGCGCGCAAACCTCTAACCACAACGGAAGAAAATTTGTTTGTAAATCATGTTTAATCCATTTTAATGATAAACCTACCTTCGATGTACATAAACAGCTATGTAACAATCATGAACCTGTTGCTGTAGAAATGCCTAATGAAGATAATTGTAAACTTAAATTTAAAAATTTCAAACACCAACAACAAGTCCCGTACATTGTATATGCTGATTTTGAAAGTATATTAATACAAAAAAGTCCATGTAATAATTGCAATTCTTTTACCTGTAAAAATCCCAATGAATGTTGTATTAACTGTTTCCGAGTCAACTGTAAAAATTTGAATCAATGCTGTTTGAACTGTAAAAGACCGAATTGTAAGAACTCCCACACCTGCAAAACTAAACATGCTACGCAAAATCAATCTACCTCTTCAACTGTTGACTATCAAAAGCACTACCCATCAAGTTTTTGTTATTATGTTGTTTCAAGTAATGGTGAAAAATCAGAACCAGTCCTTTTTCGCGGAGAAAATGCTGTGAAGGTATTTTGCCAAAAGATCAGAGATGAAGCTCTTAAAGTGTACGAGACGTACAAAAATAAGTTGCCTATGGAGTTAACGGATGAAGAAGTGGACATGTTTGAACGTTCATCTTGCTGTCACATATGTGAAGAACAGTTTACTGCCGATAATTTAAGGGTTAGAGATCACGACCCTAATACAGGGAAATTTAGAGGTGCAAGTCATTCAAATTGTAACTTGTCATATCAAAATCCACACTTTTTGCCCGTAGTCTTGCACAATATGTCAAATTATGACCTCCATTTTATTATTAAAAGTCTCGATTATGATGAAATGGAAATAAAGGTAATCCCTAATACAGAAGAACGGTATATCTCTTTATCAAAGAAAGTTGCTGCTAGATTTGAAATTCGTTTTCTTGATTCGTACAAATTTATGTCTAGAAGTCTTGATGAACTAGTCAAAAATCTTGACAAAAATCAATTCAATGAAACACTTTCTTATTTCGGTTATGATAAACTTAATATTGTTACAAAAAAAGGCTGTTTTCCCTACGAATACATAGATGGCTGGGAAAAATTTAATGAGACTAGCTTGCCTTCTATTGATCAGTTTTACAGCTCTCTAAATAAGTCAGAAGTTGCTGTAGAAGATTATAATAGGGCTGTTGAGGTTTGGAACAAATTTAACTGTCAAACCTTAGGAGAATTTTCTGATATCTACCTTAAGACTGATGTGTTACTATTAAGCGATGTATTTGAAAATTTCCGAAAAGTTTGTAAATCCAATTATGGTTTGGACCCAGGTTGGTATTTCACAGCTCCTGGCCTTTCGTTCGACGCGTGTCTTAAATTGACTAAAGTTGAAATCGATTTGTTAACAAGCTATGAACAGTACATGTTCATAGAAGCTGGTATTCGTGGTGGTATTTCTATGTGCACTAAACGTTACTGCGAGGCATCAAATAAGTATTTAGTTTCAGAAACAAATCTTGACTCGGAATCACAACCTGGTGTCAAACCTATGGATCAGGGACTCTGGACAGTTGATAATTCAAACTTTATATTATTCCTAGATATAAATAACCTTTATGGGGCTGCAATGGGAGAAAGTTTACCGTTAAAGGACTTTAAATGGTTAACCCCTGTTGAAATTGATGAAGTAAAAAATAAAATTAATGATATTGGTGAAAATGATGAAGTAGGGTTTATACTTGAGGTAGATCTAGATTATCCGGCACATCTACATGAACAACACAACGACTTACCATTTTGCGCCCAAAGAAAAGTACCACCAGGTAGTAAACATTCAAAATTGTTAACAACTTTAGAACCTAAACGTAATTACATAATTCACAGCCAAGCGTTAAAACAGGCCGTAGAGCATGGATTGGTTTTGGTTAAAATCCATAGAGGTATGAAATTTGTTCAGTCTAAGTGGTTGTATGGATACATCGAAAAAAACACAACATTTAGAAAAAATGCGCAAAATGAGTTTGAAAAGGAGTTTTTCAAACTCATGAACAATTCGGTTTATGGCAAATGTATGGAAAACGTAAGAAACAGAATGAATATGGAAATAGTTTGTAGCACTAAAAGGCTCGATAAGCTTATTGCTAAGCCTAATTTTCGTGATAGAACTATATTTACAGAAAAACTGATAGCAGTTCATCTAAATAAAACTAAAGTAAATTTTAACAAACCCATTGCAGTAGGTATGGCTATTCTTGAACTAAGCAAAATCGTAATGTATAGATATTTTTATGATATTTTTCCTCGTGTATTTGGTCAAGGAAATGTAGAACTATTATATACAGATACGGATAGTTACCTTATAAATGTAAACTCAGTTGACGTATATGAGCAAATCAAGGAGAATATACATTACTTTGACACTAGTGAGTACCCAATAACACACGCTTGTTTCTCTCTCGATAATAAGAAAAGACTTGGTGTTATGAAAGATGAAACTTTATCAGTTCCCCTAAAGAAATTCATTGGTCTTAGGACAAAGCTATATACTACTCTTAGTAAGAATTATGATTGTAAGAAACGTGCTAAGGGTGTAAAGAAAAGTGTTGTTAAAAATGAAATAACTTTTCAGGACTACGAGAGAGCTTTGTTTTGTAATCAAAACCAGTACAAAGAAATGAATATAATTAGGAGTAGGAAACATGATGTATACACAACGAAAGTACGAAAACTAGCGTTATCGTCTCATGATGATAAAAGATTTGTATTAAATGATAATATCCATACCATGGCATATGGCCATTACAAACTAATTGAGAATAAAAAAAGGAAAATTGATTTACACAAAGAACTGATTGCAAAAAAAGCTAAAATGACCAATGATTCTTGTTAAGCTCAAATTATTTGTTAGATTTGTATGTAAGTTAATTTAGTTTTTTACTTTTCAGATAATGTTTTTTTGGAAACTGTACCGGTCAGGTACGAACAACTTTCTGTTGACGAGGGCTTCCTTAATATGCCTGAATACGAGAACATGGGTCGGGTTGCTATACCTCTGCACGCATTTTTCCCTTCCTGTATTTACACTATAACCTTAAATCCTGGAGAAAGAAAAACCATATCTGCGGGTATAAAAATTAGAATACCTGAAGGTTATGAAGGACAAATTCGACCGGTAGCATGGCAAGCGGAAACTTTCGGGGTGACAGTTTTAGACTCTCCAGCGTCTATTGACTCCAACCATACAGACGTAGTCAGGGTTAACCTAATAAATCATGGAAACGAGCCGTTCAGCATTAATTACTGTAGTCACATCGCAGATCTTGTCCTAATAAAGGTTGCTAGGGTGTGTTGGGTCTTAAACGGTGGTTCCGAAGATCACGATGATCCGGACTGTAAATTAGAGGAAATAATTGTTGACAATCATGTGTCTGTCATTGTAAGAAGGGACATTATCTAGTTACAAATAAATCAAGTAATTTGAGCTTTACAGTAAATTTATGTAAATAGTGGAATAATAGAAAGTATTATGACTGTAATGAAAAAAACTGTAAACTTAACTTATCTATTTAGTTTGATTGTTTATGTTTTTAATTACTGTAACCATTGAATCTTCAAATTAATACATAGATTTTTTTTTCATAATTTTGTAAGTGTAACAATTATATTTGACATTTGTTATGTATATTTGTAATTTTGATATGTTTGTAAATAAATATAAATTATTTTGACATACAATCTGTGTTCAGTGTTATTTATTACCTACCTTGTTTCAGATTAATTTATCTCCCTTTCATTTATCTGATATAAATATATATTTATACACAATTAAATATTACGTCATGAATAAAAACATAGTTATATCAATCAAAATAAGAGAATAGCATCATTTGATGTTTGACTTTCAAGACGATGAAACCAAGTATCGACAAGTTTGGAGGTTATATAGGTTTTACTTCCAAAGAAAACGTTGTAGTAGGACCTTCAGGAATAGGTTTCAAGCTAACTGATAAACAAAATTTTAATATTGAAAACAAAAGGTTAACAAACGTAGGGGAAGCTGTCGATTCTAGTGATGCCGTTACTTTAAATTATATTTCATCAAAATGTCTATTGTTAGAGGATAAACAAGTTAATTTAAGAAAGAGAAAAATTGTTAATGTCAATGATCCTGAATCAGACATGGATGTTGTTAATAAGAGGTACTTTCAAAATAGTATGGACAAAGAACTACGAGATACTATTAAGTTTGATAGAAAGAAATTTATTATTGATTGCGAAAATCATAATATTAAAAATATATCAAACCCTGTAGATGGAAAAGATGCAATATCTCTCGATTATTTCAAAAGCAATACTTTAATGTATGAAAATGGCAATTTTAATGCTAAAAGAATGAGAATTAACAATATTGGAGATCCTACCGAGTTAACGGATGTAGTTTCTAAACAATACATCGAAAATTATGTTAATTCACAGATTAATTTAAAATGTGTGACTTTTGGTATCAATGATGAAATTAATATGAAGAATAAACGATTGAGCTTTTTTAAAATTGAAAAAGATCCAACCGATGACTCTGATGCAATAAATAAACTTTATCTAGATAAAGAATTAGTTAGGGTAAATCAAATAATTAGCAAGACGGTGGAATCCTTCATTAAACCAGAAAAAGGAGAATTAAACTTTAAAAAGTTTATAATTAATATAAATGAAGCCATAAATAATTATTCTCCCATTACTTTAGGTCAGGCAAGAACACTCATGCAGAAGTATTTATACATTGATGACAAAAGTGAAGTAAATATCAATAATTCAATAATAACAAATGTCAAAAAGCCAATTGAAAGACATGATGTTGCAAACAAAGAATATGTAGATGAAACAGTACGAAGCAACAATACAACTTTAGTTGAAGTGGTACTGAGGGAAATGATAAAGGATTATATTAAACCTGATATGAATGGTGTCATAGATTTAAAAAAGTATAATATTCAATTGGTTGTCAAAGCGAGCGAGAATGAAAATTCACCTGTGACTCGTAAACAATTAGATGCTTTCAAAAACAGGATAAACTCTGATATGTCACGTATTGATGAAAAGCTTAAGGTTTTTTATCCAGCTTCTTCGTTGACTGCAAGGTCCCGAAATAGAGAAGGTAAGCCCATATCAGATGTCATGAGTGCAATGATAAATGACTTAGCTTATCTTAGGTCTGAAATAAAAACCTTGAAAGAAAGTAAATCAACAGAAGATGATGATAAAGACGACTTTTGGGATAGGGTAGGTAAGTTGAATAGCAAGTAGGACTGGTCATCAGTATGGTTCTGAGCTTCAAACGAGGTGGAGGTCTAATTAATAAGCTTATTGATAACCTACCTTTTGAGGCACATCTGTTGGGTGGATACCAATTTTGTGGGGC